AACAGTATGATATAGAATTATAATAGAATTTGTTTGTTGGATTTCTAGAATGTTGCTTCAGTTTTTCTGTAGATCCTTTTTTTTTTTTTCAGTCGTTCTACATCTCATTGTAGTTTCAAAATCAACAGTTACTTCAAGGAACGACGATGAATGTGCTTTTAAATTTAAGCTATATTCCCCCCACCCCAATAAATGAGGGCTATTGTAAGAAAAGTCTGTCTGCTAATTGTTACAAGCTTACAATAATCCAATTTGTTATTATGTTCTTTCACTTAAACATTTGGACACAATTATGCCTTAAGTGATTACATTAATTTATTGATGTTCTTATGAGAGAGCTACAGAGTGCGGCATCACATTGCTTGCTTACCGTGGGCGAGCCCTCTTAAGAGCATGAGCTGGACAATTAGATTTCGAAGCAGGCTGAAAGCTCCACGCTGCCACCTTCACAACCGGCCTACTTACAGTCCCAAACTCCTTTAATAAGCCATTCTTCAGATGTATGCTGCAGTGTCTGTAGGCCAAGTGTTGGTGAAATTCCAGTGTCATGTAAAGACACTGTTGATTGGACCACACTGATGGGTTGTAATATTTAGTGCTTAATTTGCTTAATATTGAGGGGTTAATTCCATGTCATGACCTTAGGGAATGAATTTTGATCGATGACATCAGATAATTGCTCTATTTTTAATGCCTGTGCAAAGGTGGGCAATATTGTGTTCGGACTTCATGGCCATGTTTGCATGAACTGAGCGGCTTTGGGTATTAGTGATAAAGCTTGTAATGCAGCTAGGATATGTACGTCGAGTGTGGCCTAATAGATAATTGCTCTATTTTTAATGCCTGAGGTGGGCAATAATGTGTTCGGACTTCAGGGCCATGTTTGCATAAACTGAGTGGGTTGGGTATTAGTGTTAAAGCTTGTAATGCAGCTAGAATATGTACGTCGAGTGTGGCCTAATAGATGATGCGAGACGGATGTTTGATGAAACGAGTGAAAGAAGTGTCGTCTCGTGGACTGTGCTGTTGGGGAGTGTGGTGATGTGGGAAGGTTTGGAGAAAGGTAGTTGTTGTTTGATCAAATGCCTGAAAGAAATGAAGCTGCATGCACCAAAATAATCCCAGGGTATATCGAGAATGGGTTTATTAAAGAAGGTTTTTTGCTTCTAAACAAAATGTCCATTTTTTTTTGTTCCTCCAGATTTTGCTGCCTTTTCCTCGTTGTTATCGGCTTGTGCTCATTATGGGGATATTGGGTAAATGGCTGCATGTATTTGCTCCGAGAAGAATGGAGAATGCAGAAAAAGATGTTATCGTTTTTAAAGCTTTGCTTGATAAATAATGTTATTTAGCACTCCTCGTGTTAGAACACCAATGTAGGAACAATGGAAGGTACAATTAAGTGATTCATTTGACTACACCTCTCATTTAGGGTATGTTTGATTACATTTATTTTCCATGGAAAATATCAGTTTTCCATCCAAATTCTTACTTGGAGTGTTTGATTGCTATTTTTTTTCATGGAAAACATTTTCCAACTTTTGAAAATATGCCTAATTTTCCTTGTTTTTAAGGAAAATATTTTCCTTGGGTAGAGGTGGTTTTTATTTTCTACAAAAGATGGAAAATATTTTCTTTTCTAGGTGATATTTTCCATGTTAATCAAACGCACTCTTAATGTCAAATTAGCGCCACCTAAACTTAGCATCAGTGATGCTAGATAGCATTATTCTTGCTTGATATGTATGTGAAATGTTGTAGGATTAACTCTACTTCTCAGGGTTTTCAGCTATCCATCAGGGAATGTGGTCACATGCAAGCTATGCTAACTGGTATGGAAAGGGTACTGATGTCTTGAGTATGTTCGATCAGATGCTAAAAGAAGTTAAACCAGATGATGTGACCTTCCTAACCCTGTTAAGCACTTGCAGTCGATGAGGGCTGACAAATTTTCTACCTCAAATATATGTACAGTGTAAGGCCTTCAACGGAGCATTACGCTTGTGTGGTGGATTTCCTGGGTTGAGCAGGACATTTAGAAGAAGCAGATGCAGAAATACGGGTTGTGTTAGTCTCTTTCTCTTGGGGTCTCGAGTGTTCATAGGAAGCTAGAGTCGGGGGAAAGTCTTGAGCAAAAGCTGGTTCCAATGTATTCACAGAACACGGTGTACCATGTCTTGCTTTCGAACGTGTATGCTCAATCAGGCATGCTTGGAGACCCCCAATTAAGATCACCCATACAAGAAGAAGAAAAAGGCAGCACACCTCAAATTCCAGAAGGTTCACCATTCAGTTAGCAGGAGAGGCAAGTGGGTAATAGTGTTATAGAAAGGAGGTCTATAAATAGGACGAAGGGGGATTATGTAAAGGCATGCTTTTGGACTGGTATTCGGTTACGAATGGGAGAGATCAAGCATCTCGAATAGCCTGAGAATTGTTCAATTCTGTCTTCCGTTTCAGTCGAATAAATAATACAATTGCGTGTTATCCTAATAGAACTCAGGGCATCAGAAAAGTTTCCCTGAATTAGTTCTATGCATATTGGTGGCCAAGTTCATCATTTTAGTGCAGAGAGTCACAATCCGCAGACTGAAGAAATATACGTGAAGTTGGATAATATGATTCAAAAATTAAGCTCCTGGGAGCAATTTCCAGCAAATTTTAATCAAAATTTTTATCGTTATAGTGTAAAAAGTAGTTGCGATTATTGATCAGAATTATCTGTTTACCCTTTTTACATATAATTCATTATATTCGAGGGAATGGCGTTTACAATCATTTGCATCTTTTTGAGTCAATAATGACGGTGATGTAGGGATTCATCTATATTTTCAACGGTTGAAATTTGCTTAAAATGTTGTGAGAGCTAAGACTGATATTGAAATATCACATACTACTGACCTTGTTGATTAAGAAGATTAAAAATTGTATTAATATACAATAAAAACATTTACTTACAAGTACTAACGATAATTTTTGTCTGGAATGCATGCATAAAAAAATAAGCTATATATTTGTATGCAAAACATTCACCAAATGGGGATGTAGCTCAAATGGTAGAGCGCTCGCTTTGCATGCGAGAGGCACGGGGTTCGATCCCCCGCATCTCCATTTCATGTTTTCTTGTGATTTCATACGATTTTTTTTATCCAAAAAACTGAAATGCGGAAATATATATACAGTTTTTCTTTAAAAAAATTTTGAAATTGAACAGTCAAATGCAAAAAAGGTGCTAATAAATGAGACTAACTTCTCTTTATTTATTTATTTTTCCCCTCCGATGAATGATTTTGTTTTATTATTCCAAGTTGAATAAAGTTCTTGACCTCCAATCATAAATAATCTAGTGAATAATTCTTTTTTTAAAACAAGTAACATTTAAATTACCTAATTTGAGTCTTTGTGATAGGGTTGCACAAAAAAAATCGCAAACTAAATCGAAATCCTTGATTTGAAATCGTTGACTAAGGTTCAGTTGAACCCACGGTTTTTATTCCCTCAAATCGAAACAAACCATTTCAAAATGGTTCGATTTAGGTTTCGATTTTTAAAAATCAGACAAAGTCGAACTAAACTATTCTAAATTTTTTTAATTAAAACAATAATTTTATTAATTACAAATTTCACTTTTAAAAACAAAATTACCAATTTAACAATACAAATTATAATCAGTCCATTGAAATGATCGTAGAAAATAAATTAAATTCATCATTATTAGCCTATTGTTTAACAAGTTCACAACACATGTGCTCATCCCGATATCTAAACTAAACTCAACTTATTCTCAAATCATATTAAATGGCAAAATAATAATAATAATAATAAAATAAAATTTTATATTTTCAACAGTCTAAATCATAATTCAACAAAACTATGCAAATCATGTCCAAAACTTCAGAAACATTTGATGTTTGTCTACCACTGATGAATGAATCGTCAGTTGCTTTTTACCTATTAATCTCCTAATTTCTACTTGAATTGTCTCTCTCTCCCCTCTCTTGGTAAGTCTCAAATTTTTATTCAGGCCATTTTTCATTGTTATTTCTTTTATTTTTTGTTTTTGAACTTATTATACACTAATGAGTTATAGTTTGATAGAAAAATGACTGTTTATGGCCTAAATAATTAATGAATTTGCTTGTGGTTTGGAAATAACAAAGGACATCGTATTGATTTGTGTGAAAATATTAGAGTTCTATAACTTCTATTACTACCTTCTATTTTCATAAAGTAATTAGAGAATGAAATTCGTCAATACCTAATAAGCCTAAACCCTATCAATCTTTTGTATATCTAAAATTATCAAGTTCAATTTTTATTTAATATCTCACTAGTAAAATGAAAGGAGTTTTAACCACATTATAATATTAGGATGTAACTCTACTTTACAAATCGTTATGTGACAATATAAAAGTCAAACAAGAGGAAGTTACATAAAAATGAAAAAAAGATATATTTGTTCTATTAACATCTTTTAGTAATCAATTTTGAAAAAAAATTTCATGGATTTTATGTTAAAAATGAATATAATTTAACATTTAACATTATTAGTTCTCATTTAAACTTATATATTAACTTATTTTAAATATATTACTATAATGTCAATAGGTAAATTGGGGATTAAAATCGAACCAAATCGCAAATTATGATTTGGTTTGGTTCAAAAAATAAAATGATTTGATTTGTTTAAAAAAAATTCAGACTTCATAAAATAATTTGAGTTAAAAATATAGTTTAAACTATCCAAAATGAATCGCGTTCACCCCACTTTGGAGTGTGAATTTAATTTATTTTTCAGTATTATACGTATTTGTGCAAACATTCTTGAATCTCTTGTCGAATTATGATTCCATAGAAGTCGAGTAAGCAAATTATTGGCATAGAAAATTAGCAACAACATAAGACGAGAGGGTAAATATTTTCAGTTTTAAAAATAAGACCCAATCCGTTAAAAATTAACGTTTAAAAGTGAAAATTCTCAATTTCCCTATCTGGCGGGAGTTTGAATGACAAAGTTTTGTAGCTGATCCAATGAACTCGCCGCAGACCCCTCACCTTCGAAACGGTAAATCTACCATCTATCTCCTGCAAAACTAGTAATTCCTGTAATAAATTTGGGTGTCTACCGGACTATCTCGATCAAAGGAAAGCAAAAAATGTCATACTATCCGAAAGGCCAGCGTGATACCGGCGACAATGTTGATGATTTCAATGAATTTGATCCGACCCCTTATGGAGGAGGATATGACATCGATTTGACGTACGGTCGGGCAATGCCTCCGTCTGAGGTGATCTGTTACCCCATCACCACATCTGCTTCTGAGGGGTTCGAATACGACCGCCCACAATATAACTCCTATGATGAGCCGTCTGCCTATGCTGATGAGGCTCTAGACAATGAGTACAAGAGTTACGCCCGACGGAAGACCAGACCGGACCAGAATTTGTACGGTAGTGGTGGTGGTGGGGCTGGAGGAAACAGACCTGGAGGAGGATCCGAATATGGGTCCGGGTATGGAGGGAAGACTGAGTATAAGACGCCTGAATCGGTACATGATGGACCTGGATATGGCCGGAAGCCCGGTCATGAGATGCCCACTTCGGAAGTTGGATCCGGATATGGTCGGAAATCGAAGCCCACTTCAGAGTACGGATCTGGTTACGGGCGCACACCCGAGTATGAGAATCCCAGTTTGGGATCCGGCTATGGAAAGAAGAGTGAATACGAGGATCCCACCTTGGAATATGGATCTGGCCATGGGCGAAAACCAGGATCCGAGTATAGTGGATCGGAGGGATATGGGAAGAAGAGTGAATACAAGGAACACACCTCAGAATATGGATCTGGGTATGGGCGGAAATCAGGGTCCGAGTATAGCGGATTGGAGGGATATGGGAAGGAGAGTGAATTCAAGGAGCCCAACTTGGAATATGGATATGGGCATGTGCGGAAATCAGGGTCTGAGTATAGTGGATCGGAGGGATTTAGAAGGAAAAATGAGCTCGATGAGACCGGTTCTGGATACGGGTCTGGGTACGGGCAGAAGATTGAGTCCGAAGAGTATGGATCGGGTGGGTATGGAAAGAATAATAGCTATGGGGAAGAGGAGAGTGGTTGTGGATATGGATCTGGGTGTGGGCGAAGGATCGAGTCCAAGGAGCATGAATCGGGTGGTTATGGGAAGAAGAATAGCTACGGGGAAGGGGATAGTGGTGGTGGTGGATACGGGACGGGTGGGTATGGTCGGAAGCCCGAGAGGCACGAGTATGGTGAGGAGAGGCCCAAGTATGGAATGGTGAGTTATGATACTGAGGGTCATGAAAGGCCTAGTTATGGAAGGTCCGAGGAAGATGACTATAGGAAGACAAGCTATACGAGGCGTGACGATGATGACAACGACCATGGCAGCAAAAAATATGTGAGTTTCTTTCTAGTTCTTGATTTTCGTGAGTTCTATGCATAGACAACATAAAGAACGTTATTTTCATACATTATTCCTTAACAATGATAATTGTTATTCAATTTTCTCAATCAAATGTAACAACCATGTTCATGGGTTTGGTTGACTAATCCTATGATTTAATTAGTTCCTATCTTGAGCATGATTGTAGATTTTTGTTTCTATTTATATGTAGTGAAAATCGAATTTGAACGTTCTTAAAGAAAAATGTGTTGCCCACACAATCAGATTCTCACATTTTGGCTTATTTTTATTTGTTTATTAATCTTGGATGGTGTGGAGTGGCAGAATTGATGCTAGTCGAATGATCAATTTTAACTTTTTTGTTTTAGTTCGAATCTCTCATTTAAAGAGAATATTAGTCAATTGTTAGGTTACGGTACATCATAATTTTTCTGTCCTTTGTGATCTTGAATTACAGGGAAGTAATGATAATTCTGATGAGGACAAGGATGAGAAGAAGAATCGCCACAAGTCCCACCATCACCACAAGAAGCACTATGATGAGTAAACAAAAAATCGTTCCTCGATGAGCGGGCAAGATGAAATAAAATGAGTTAGGCATTTTTTTGTTTTAAGTGGTATTCATGTTGAGTTCTTTAGCATATTGGATTGTATCCACACTCAATAAAATATTATACTCTCTTCGTCTTAATTATATAGACGTGTTTCGTTTTTCATACAGATTAAGAAATCTTCTTTAATGTTATTGAAAAATTAATTTTTGTTAAGATTTTTCCTAATTTACCTTCATTTAATTTTCAGTTTGTAGTAGTAAATTATTGTTAGTATTAATAAAGAATTTGAATAATTTAATTTGAAGAAAAAGAAATTGGAGTTGTTCCATTGTTTTTAAGAAGTGGAAAATGTAATCGAATAGGTGCTACTGTCTTACTTGCAGCTAATTGCACTCCGTGCACGAAAACCAAGTGTTATCATTCAGCTTCTAGAGTTGTGAACATATCATTTGACAGGAAGGGATCAATATGCCACCAAAAACCTAAACTTCAAGTAGGGAACAAAGTCTGATTTGCAAGCTACATGAATCAGTTTTCACCCCTCAGTTACGGTCATGATAGAGTTTACCTTTTGAAGATCACCAATGCTAGGTGCAAAGGCGTGCATAATAGATCGTTAATGAACATCACAAGGTATTCCATAATAAAACTAGTTGTTGTTGATACCTTGGAACTGTGTGCATCTAAAGAACCTTTTATAGTATATCTTTGTTTGACAGAATGAGAATGTGCGTTCTTGATTATTGTGGAGCAAAAGTGCGACTAGACTTGATCTGCACGGCATTCCTAATAATATTCTAAATGCCTTGTTTTTGGTAATAGATAAACATTATCTCGACCAGTTCCTACTTCATAAATAAGCATAACATAAAGAAATTGCTCACTTTCATCTTAAAAATGAAAAGTAGGGCTCACATTGCAGCAAGAGTGCTGGGGCATAAATCCATATATTCCTCCCAAGTAACAAGGTTCTCCTGGGATGAACATCAGCATATGTTGCTCTTGTCTGAACTCAGTGGTGGCCTTGAGTGTAGGCGAAGTAGGCGATCGCCTAATGTCCCGTTTTAGTGAGGGTTCCAAATTATGTAAAGTTAATTCATTAGTTGAAGAAAAATAAAAATTATATTTATGAAATTCTGAAAATAGAATTATCGTATGCAAGCGTAAGAAACTAATAAAAGTTGAAAATACAAAAATCTTTAAAATATATATGGCAACAAACTTATTACTTACATTTATTTATCACAAACATTACTTTCCATATTTATAATTAAGTTGACACTTTATCTTCCAAATATTCATTTTCTTTTTTAACCAAACAAAATGTCTCTTTGTCTTTTCAAATTCTATGTCCAACAATCACCCATCATTATTTTTTCAACCCAACAAGATATAAATTATTTCTCTTTGAATTAAAATTTTGAAAATTCCATGCAATTTTGTTTGATCTCGCTATTATTGTTACCGCCTTACTTTCTTTCTTTTTCTCTTATCTTCAAAACATATACTGCAAAATATATAGATTGTTATTATATTGTTTTGTTTTAATCTCATGATAATAATATTTTTTAGATATTTATTGAAAGTATTTTGAATTTAGTAATTCTTTGTTATTTTTCATTCAAATACCTCTTATTTTAAGTTAATTTCTTATAAATTAATATCAAATTAGAAGCTCGTTTGTATATCATCATTTTCATTATTTTATTACACTATCTTTTGCAGTCACATTCTCTAATTTTGTACATAAATCACTCAAATGCATATTCAATTTTATTTGAAATGGTTGTAGTGAGAAAATAATTATACAAATGAGCATACTCCTTTGTCATTACATTATAATTCTATTTGCCAAAATTTACTTGTAATTTGTATTGCTGGTTGAAATTTGACATTTTTTGGGACTTAGTTGTCTGTGTTAGATTCTTTATAATTATATTAAGCCCATGTTTAGTATAAATAAAATCCAGATTTTAATTTAAGTCAAAATTGACAATTAATTTTAATAACATATTTTATGGGTTCCAAAAACTTTAAATCCATATATTTTTTCTACTTCTATCAAAATCTACTAAAATTTTGATTTTAAGGGTTGTTTGAACCCCATTTTTCTCAAAAATAAAAATGCATTTTCAAATAATGTTACGATGGATAATGTATGATTAAAAAATAAGGAAAAATTTTGAGTTTGTGTGTAATATTATTTTATTGAAAAATGTATTATTGAAATAGTGTCAAATCACTATGAATAATGTATTTTGATGAAAAATTGGATTCAAACAAGAGTTTAATCTCCATTAAATAGGTTAAAACTCTTTACAAGGAGAATCAAAATATAGGATCCCAATTTGAAATTGGCTCCGGCTCTGTCTGAACTTGGGCAATACAACAACGTAGGAACTCCAGATTAGCCGCCCAAACATGAACTATTCTTTTGAGAGTTTCATCGTGAAGAAGGGCAGATGGACAGCATGTTCGGTAAAAGAGAATGAAATATGCAGAAATTTTCAGAAAATGTCTGAACCCACATAAATTAATACTAGAGAAACAACACATGATCCACAAGTGAACCGTGACAGCCCATAGAAAACTTACATTAGATATATAAAGAAAGACCATGAGAAATCGGATTCTTAGCAATTCTGGAATAATGATGACCAAGTACTTTCTTATGTCCATCATCTAGTCACTAAATTCACTCTCTTGAGGTAAAATATTCCTCCTAGCTTCATTTTTCTCAAAATTAATTTTCTTTTTCCAAAACTCACATTCTCTCATAAATTAATTTTATATGTAAATTCGAAACTTTTCCCTATTTTAACCACACATTTTCCAAACAATCACTATTCCAAAACCTATTTTCCCCCAAAAAATGGTGCCTAAACAGGGCCTCAATCTTCTGTTCCATCACTGGCCCAGGCAGTGTAGCACGTAGGAATGTCAAACTCGTCAAAACTAGACTCATGGACGGTTCGGGTTCATCAAATGACGAGCCCGAGCCAAGCAAGGGCTTAATCCCACGAGTCGAGCCTGCTCAGCTTGTTGAGCCCACAAGCCATTTTGACGAGCCCACTAGCCGAGCTCGTGTGCTCGTCAAAAAATATGAATTTAAAAAAAAAAAAATAAAACGTGCAAATTTATCAAAAAAAAATTAAAAAATCATGAGCTCGTGGGCTCGGCTAGACTAGACTCAGCCCGTGAGCTCGTGGGCCAAGCCGAGCTCGCCTCGTGGGTTAAAAGATCGACTCGGCCCATTGTCATCACTAATAGCACGGTAAGAGCCGTGCCAGTCTGGAGGGCTCCGCAGCCTAACAGGTCTCGTATTGAAAAAAGAAAAGAAAGCTAAGCAAAGAAGGGGGACAAAATAAAACAAAAATAAAAATAAAAAGAGTGAAAGCATGTGGGACCGGCACTGGGCAACAAAACAGCCTCTTACATAATCTCCCACTAAATTCAGTCTCTGAGGTAAAAACACTTCATCTTTGCTACCCCTCTTTTTCAGTCATTGAATTCTTCTCTCTGCACCAAAAAAATAAAAATAAAAATAAAAAGCAGCTTATAATTAACACGAGTTGTATCGGTACATTTTAACAAAACTGATCCTTTAATTTAACAATAGTCATTATTAGAGCACAAAACAAGATGATATTAAAGCAAAATTCCAAAACAAATCCAGTGTAAATAAACACAATTTGAAAGATGGATGAATCTAAGCCCCTGTTTGACACCCATTTTAATGAGTTTTTTGGCGGGAAATGAATTTCAAAATAGTGTTTTTTATTTTTTTTTTAAGAATGTGTGGTTAAAAAATAGGAAAAAAATTTGGGTTTAAGTTCAAAATATTTTATTATATGAATTTATGATTGAAAATGAGTTTGAGAAAAAAGAGTTTTGATCTAATGGATGCCAAGGAGGGGCTTAATGTTCTGAATAATTATCCCTCTTGATACACAACTCAAGTCACACGTTCTTGTCCCTAAAACCTTAACGATATGTTTGGTTAACGCTACACAATACAATAGACAATATTTTAACTTCTCTATACCGTTTAATCCTTTCAAGACTCCATGTTATCAAACAAGACATGAAGGTGTTGATAGCGTCGGTCCTGTGATTTTTGGGGCCAGGGGCGAACTCCAAAAATTAGGCCACCAAAATCAACTTAAATGCAAAATCCAACAAAACCTATTGTGTATTATACAACATATCGCTAACTTAAAACTTAATAGTAAAACAAAAAATAAATATATTATACAAAAGATTTGTATTATAAAATAACTAAACTAACAACGTTTCAAATAATCATTTAAACACTATTTGCCTTGCTGTTTTAGAGGTAAAAACATTAATCAAATCTGAATAATTTAGTTATTCAACTATTTCTTTATCTATTAATAACATAGCTAATCCGTTCAATTTTTCTTGTGATATAGTTGTTCAAAGGTAAGTCTTGATCAACTTCAATTGGAGAAACTTTTTTTCACAAAATATTTCAATCATTTCACAATTAAAAGTTTTCAATATAGTTACTATGTGCGCTTGTGCAATTGATCCTACAATAACCAATCATATAAGCCGACAAACCTTTAAATATTTCCAATATATTTAATAACAAGTTAGGGCAAGCCATTACTTACCTGAAAAGTATAATTTCGACAAAAATGATGGAATCATGCCGTTGAGAATTCTGCTGTCACAATTCACAAGCCTGAAATAAAAATTTGGCAGCAACCACCAATATAATACCCAAAGTGGAAACCAAAATCAAAAAGTGGAAACCAAACCAAACCATAGACAAAATTCATTCCAGTTGATATTGTTCACCTCACTACTGACATATCTCACAAAAACAACAAACCTAAAATATTTATGGCACCAACCAAGTGCATAAGGTCTTCAAATAATATACGATTGAACATGAGCACAAGTAAAGGAAAACAAAATCTGGTTACTGGACTACTACGTATGATTTATGTAATAATGTTATGGCTCCATTTGGGATTTGGCAGTTCATCAAATATATCATTAGCAACACGACAACTGACATATAACATCTTTGCTAATTAATATATATTTTTATTTGTCAATAGTAATAAAATAGAAGAAACACAAGAGTTGGAAAGCACAACCAAAGGAAAAATGAGTCAAACCTTCATCAGCAAGACAACAACACTCTGATTGAGATAAATGTAGTCAAAGGCCCTTCTTAACATCAATCTACCTGAAATAAAACCACATACACAGGCTAAGTAAGAGAAGTTGTAATTTTTCAAGGAGTTTACTTAGTCATGAATCTTGACAAGAAAAAATTAATTACATAATAAATATACCATGATCAAATCGAAGAGGACAGACAATAAATTGACGATCCGCACAAAAAAGAGAGGTAACAAACACTGAAAAAGGGCAATAAATTAGGCCTTTAGGGTTGAAAATGGGTAACTTCTTGTTTTTGTGATTTGTGAAGAGTAAAGGGAAGGGAGTGATATTTGGGAACTGGCATGAAGAAGATAAGTAGGGTTGGCCAAGGAAATGAGGTTGTTGTCGAGTCGCCGTCGTCAATCCAATGATTCTTGGAGTTGGATTGGAGGCAGAGGTCGAGTTGGACATCATAGTTGTCGAAGAGGAGAGGAGGAATGAAATATAAAATCCAATTTTCCAATTTTCCTCATTTAATATATATATATATATATATTTGGGAGAAAAGTAGGCCCATCCGATTTTGGGCCTAGAAGAAAATAATGAATGGAATGGATCCTCTATATTTACAAAAAAAAAAATAATAATAATAAATAAATAATAATAATAAATAAATAAATTTTTGGAACAAAAATAGGCTCCCTTAGATTTTGGGCCCAAGGCCCCAGCTTCAATAGTCTCGTAGCAGGACCGGCTATGAGTGTTGAATAGTAACTTGGGTCCATAATCAACTCAATCATTTTCTTCTATAACATGTTATAGCTTACCCGAGATGATCTCATTAGATCTATAATAAATAGGACTCTTTACAAAATAATTATGAACTAACTAAAGAGGAATATACCAAGGAGATTCTTATTAAACAAAGAACATTTTGAATAATGCCAAAGTCGTCTATCAACAAATACCATGACAAATTGGAATATGCCTAAAATATTCTTTTAAACCATCCAACTTAACAAAAATCACTGTCCACTTAAATGTTGTTATTCTACTTCATGCCATCTCACCACTGAAGGAAGCACTGTCAACATCAGTTTAATAAGAGCAAAATGACTCCTCCAATAACACTCTCCTCATCTTATATTCATACTTGGATTCCTATGTCTCCTAGTAATTTATGAGCCCAAATCGTAATTTTTCGTATACTTGTTAATCAACAAGTTAGTCCGCCTTAATCAACGTCGCGCTCAAACTAAAATTCATCTTGCAGGTACAATTTCTCTACTGTTTACAACCGACTAGGTTATCAACCAAGCACAACACTCAGAAAAGTTCGACGGTTTCTACGTTGATAAAGGGAAGTATTCTATGTTATTCCAGTTTCAGAAGTAGTCGAAATACCCTCTACCCCGCCCTGTCCCACTGCCCCATCCCTCCTCCCCTTGTTTCCGTTCTCCTAAAAATGAAGAGTATGTTTTAGAAGTAGTTTAAATTTCCCATTACTCTTAACTAATTTTTTTCATACACATAGAGCCCTCAGTTTAAATTCAAATCAAATTGATGCCTATTTTCAAGCTTGTGTAAAATTAAATACTTAAACCAACAAAATCACACGAATCTTAAATCAAAACATAACAAAAATGATTGTTTACCTAAGATATAGTTATAGACATACGAGAATTAAGGAATAAACCTGGAAGCAGGTGATGAATACCTCCGGTTTATCGACGTAGAAATCGTTGAACTTTTCGAATTCCTAGTTGAGAACCAGATCTGCAGCTCGGCCAAATGTGGTGGCGATACCTTGCATCACCCTCCGGCCGCGGGGATTATCTCCATCTGGTAGGGTTTCTTCCGAATATATTTTGATTTCGTTTCAAAATGATGCCATATTTTGTTCAGTACAATGCCTTGTATCATTCCTTCATCATTGATCAATTCTGTGCTTACTTTGGTTCAAAAAGATCGATTAATTACTACAATAAAAATATTAATAATTTAAATTCTTTTTTTTTCCAATCGATAATTGAAAATTATCATTTCCCTCCGGGGGAAAACCTACCTCATTTCCCCCAATTTTCCCATTCCATTCCCTTCTTTGGCAGCATATATTACATCCGTTGTCTTGCCCATCCTTTCCGTCAGACGGCCGGCCGCACTATTAGATTTCACAGTAAGCTTACTGGAGTCGTGAAGGGCATTTCTGTTGCCAGCCATTTAAATTAGAACGAGGAAGAACAAGCTTTGCTAAAATTTGAAAGCTATTGAAGGTATCTCTCTACAAATGGTAAACTACTGGAGTCGTGAAGGGCATTTCTGTTGGCAGCCATAAAAATTTGAACGAGGAAGCCACAAGCTTTGCTAAAATTTGCCTGCTATTGAAGGTATCTCTCTGCAAAGTCTCGATTTGTTTAAAGGCTTCGAGTATGATGAGGAGAGGCCCAAGTATGGAAGGGCGCCTTATGATACTGAGGGTCATGAAAGGCCTAGTTATGGAAGGTCCGAGGAAGATGACTATAGGAAGACAAGCTATACGAGGTGTGATGATGATGACACCGACTATGGCAGCAAAAAATATGTGAGTTTCTTTCTAGTTCTTGATATTCATGAATTATATGCATAGACAACATAAAGAACGTTATTTCATACATTATTCCTTAACATTGTTAATTGTTATTCAATTTTCTCAATCAAATGTAACATCAATGATCACGGGTTTGGTTGACTAATCCTATGATTTAATTAGTTCCTATCTTGAGCATGACTGTTAATTTTTGTTTCTATTTATATGTAGTGATAATCGAATTTGAACGTTCTTAAAGAAATATGTGCAGCCCACACAATCAGATTCTCACATTTTGGCTTATTTTTACTTGTTTATTAATCTTTGATGGTGTGGAGTCGCAGAATAGATACTAGTTGAATGATCAATTTTAACTTTTTTGTTTTAGTTTGAATCTATCATTTAAAGAGAACAATAATCAATTGTTAGATTACGGTACATCATAATTTTTCTGTCCTTTGCGATCTCGAATGACAAGGAAGTAATGTTAATTCTGATGAGGACGAGGATGAGGAGAAGAAGAAACGCCACAAGTCCCACCATCACCACAAGAAGCACTATGATGAGTAAACAAAAAAATCGTTCCTCGATGAGCGGGCAAGATGAAATAAAATAAGGAGTTAGGCATTTTTTGTTTTAAATGGTATTCATGTTGAGTTCTTTAGCATATTGGATTGTATCCATAATCAATAAAATATAATACTCTCTTCGTCTTAATTATATAGATTTGTTTCGTTTTTTCACACGAATTAAGAAATCTTCTTTAATGTTATTGAAAAATTAATTTTGTCAAGATCTTTCGTAATTTACTCTCATTTAATTTTCAGTTTGTCTGTAAATTATTGTTAGTATTAATAAAGAATTTGAATAATTTAATTTGAAGAAAAAGAAATGGGAGTTGTTTCATGTTTTCAAGAAGTGGAAAATGTAATCGAATAGGTGCTACTATCTTACTTGCAGCTAATTGCACTCCGTGCACGAAAACTAAGTGTTATCATTCAGCTTCTAGAGTTGTGAACATATTATTTGACAGGAAGGGATCAATATGCAACCAAAAAACTAAACTTCAAATAGGGAATGAAGTCTGATTTGCAAGCTACATGAATCAGTTTTCAACCCTCAGTCATGGTCATGATAGAGTTTACCTTTTGAAGATCACCAATGCTAGGTGCAGAGGCGTGCATAATAGATCGATAATGAACATTACGAGGTATCCTGTAATAAAACTAGTTGTTGTTGAATACCTTGGAACTATGTGCATCTAAAAACCCTTTTATGGTATATCTTCGCCTGACAAAATGAGAATGTGTATTCTTGATCATTGTGAAGGGAAAGTGAGACTAGACTTGATCTGCACGGCATTCCTAATAACATTCTTAAATGCCTTGTTTTTGGTAATAGATGAGCATTACTTGACCGGTTCTTATTTCGTAAACAAGCATAACATAAAGAAATTCATCACTTTCATCTTAAAAATAAAAAGTAGGGCTCACATTGCAGCAAGAGTGCTCGGGTATAAATCTATATATTCCTCCCAAGTAACAAGGTTGTCTCCTGGGATGAACATCAGCATATGTTGCGCTTGTCTGAACTTGGGCAGTACGACAACATAGGAACTCCAGATTAGCCACCCAAGCATGAACTATTCTTTTGAGAGTTTCGTCGTGAAAAAGGGCAGATGACAGCAAGGTCTGTAAAAGAAGAAACTACAATCCCCTAGTTGTTTTCGGAGTTTTAACACGAGTGAATGAAATATGCAGAATTTTCAGAAAATGTCTGAACCCACATAAATTAATACAAGAGAAACAACAAGTGAACCGTGACAGCCCATGGAAAACTTACATTAGATATATAAAGATCATGAGAAATCAGCTTCTTCACAATTCTGGAATAATGATGACCAAGTATTTCCTTTCTGGCAAATGCTACATAGTGCACACAATGCATTACACTCCTCTCACATAGAGGGTCCACAAATATTTATTGTGTGAGGATCCCACCATGTGAGGGGATGTAATGCATTGTGTACACATAACATTTTCCTTTCTTATGTCCATCATCTAGTCACTAAGTTCACTCTCTTGAGGTAAAATATTCCACCTACGTTTGAGCTTCAATTTCCTCAAAACTATATTTTTTTTTTCCAAGACTCATATTAACCACACATTTTGCCATAAATTAATTTTATACATAAACTCGAAACTTTCTCTATTTTAACCACACATTTTCCAAACAATCGCTATTCCGAAACCTATTTTCCCCCCAAAAAATGGTGCTCAAACAGGGCCTCAATCTTGTGTTCCATCACTGGCCCGGGCAGCGTAGCACAGTAAGAGCCGTGCCAATCTGGAGGTCTCCGCAGCCTAACAGGTCTGGTATTGAAAAAAGAAAAGAAAGCTAAGCAAAGAAGGGGGACAAAATAAAACAAAAATAAAAATAAAAAGAGTGAAAGCATGTGAGACTGGCACTGGGCAACAAAACAGCCCGGTTTACACCTCCTACATAATCTCCCACTAAATTCAGTCACAGAGGTAAAAACACTCTATCTTTACTGCCCCTCTTTTTCAGTAATTCAATTCTTCTCTCGGCACCAAAAAAGAAAAAAAAGCAGCTTATAATTAACAAGAATTATATCGATACATTTTAACCAAAATGATCATTTAATGTAACAATAGTCATTATTAGAGCACAAAACAAGATATTAAAGCAAAATTCCAAAACAAATCCAGTGTAAATAAAACACAATTTGAAAGATGGATGAATCTAAGCCCCTGTTTGGCATCCATTTTAATGATTTTTTTGGCGTGAAAAGAGTTTTTAAATAGTGATTTTTTATTTTTCTTAAAAATGTGTGGTTAAAAAATAGGAAAAATATTTGGGTTTAAGTTCAAAATATTTTATCATATATTATGGTTGATAATGGGTTTGAGAAAAAAAAAGTTTTGATTTAATGGATGTCAAAGAGAGGCTTAATGTTCTAAATACTTATCTCCCTTGGTACACAACTTAGTCGCAAGTTCTTGTCCCTACAACCTTAACAACACGTTTGGTTAACACCATACAATAAGATAGACAATATTTTAACTTCTTTATCTCGTTTAATCCTGTCGATAGTCCAAGTTATCGAACAAGCCATGAAGGTGTTGAATATTAACTTGGATCCATAATCAACTCAATCATTTTCTTCTATAACATGTTATAGTTTACCCGAGATGATCTCAGTAGATCTATGAGAAATAGGGCTCTATACAAAATAATTATGAACTAACTAAAGACGAATATACCAAGGAGATTCTTATTAAACAAAGAACATTTTAATTCATTCCAAGGTCATATCGCATGACAATTTGGAATATGCCTAAAATATTCTTTTAAACCATCCAACAAAAATCAATGTCCACTTAAATGTTGTTATTCTACTTCATGCCATCTCACCACTAAAGGAAGCACGGTCAACATCAGTTTAATGAGAGCAAAATGGCTCCTTCAACACTCTCCTCATCTTATATTCATACTTGGATTCCTATGTCTCCTAGTATTTTATGAGCCCAAATCGTAATTTTTCGTATACTTGTTAATCAACAAGTTAGTCCGCCTTAATCAACATCGTGCTCAAATTAAAATTCATCTTGCAGGTACAATTCCTCTACTGTTTACAACTGGCTAGATTATCAACCAAGCACAACACTGAGAAAAGTTCGACGGTTTCTACGTTAATAAAGGGAAGTACCCTCTATCCCACCCTATCCCACCGCCTCCATTCCTCCGTCCCTTGTTTCCGTTCTCCTAAAAATTAAGAGTATGTTTTAGAAGTAGTTTAAATTTCCCATTACTCTTAACTAATTTCTTTCATACACATAGAGCCCCAAGTTTAAATTCAAATCAAATTAATGCCTATTTTCAAGCTTGTATAAAATTAAATACTTAAACCAACAAAATCACACGAATCTTAAATCAAAACATTAAAAAAATATATAAAAAAATTTGATTGTTTACTTAAGATATAGTTATAGACATACGAGAGTTAAGGGATAAACCTGCAAGCAGTTGATGAATACCTCCCGTTTATCGACGTAGAAATCGTTGAACTTTTCGAATTCCCAGTTGAGAACCAGATCTGCAGCTCGGCCAAATGCGGTGTCGATACCTTGCATCACCCTCCGGCCGCGGGGATTATCTCCATCTGGTAGGGTTTCTTCCAAATCTATGTTGATTTCGTTTCAAAATGATGCCATATTTTGTTCAGTACAATGCCTTGTATCATTCCTTCATCATTGATCAATTCTGTGCTTACTTTGGTTCAAAAAGATCGATTAATTACTACAATAAAAATATTAATAATTTAAATTCTTTTTTTTTCCAATCGATAATTGAAAATTATCATTTCCCTCCGGGGGAAAACCTACCTCATTTCCCCCAATTTTCCCATTCCATTCCCTTCTTTGGCTGCATATATTACATCCGTTGTCTTGCCCATCCTTTCCGTCAGACGGCCGGCCGCACTATTAGATTTCACAGTAAGCTACTAGAGTTGTGAAGGGCTTTTCTGTTGCCAGCCATTTAAATTCGAACGAGGAAGCCACAAGCTTTGCTAAAATTTGAAAGCTATTGAAGGCATCTCTCTGCAAATGGTAAAGTACTGGAGTCGTGAAGGGCATTTCTGTTGCCAGCCATCAAAATTAGAACGAGGAAGCCACAAGTTTTGCTAAAATTTGCCTGTTATTAAAGGTATCTCTCTGCAAAGTCTCGATCTGTTCAAAGGCTTCGACTCGAATATCAGCTGTATCAACTAAATTTACTCATGCACATGTTATCACATGTTATTAGATGTTTCATTAGACAAATCCTGAATATTGAGAATAAAATAGATGAAATTGAACGTCTCTGTGAATTTTTATTTTTCTCCTTTAAATCAGTATGGTGATCAGAACTAAGATATGCCCTTTAGTTCAATGCCTAACCTCGTAGCGGCGGTTCAAATTCTGTTGCCAGTCATAAAAATTATCAAACAACATTTTAATTGCTGTTTCATGCTGCAGTTCGGAACATTCTAGTTTTGTTTTAGTTGGATATTCAATAGACATGTTACATGCTTTGATATCTAAGTTTCAAATGGTTATTGTGAACTAGCAAAATACAAGGTGGGTAATGGAAGAGCATAGCAGTACAAGGTGCAAAATTTGGTGTTGCTTGGTTGAACTTGATGTGATAGGGAAAATAGGATAAATTGTACTCACATTTGGAATGTAATATTTACAACATTAGGTGATTCTTTGTTTTGTAAGTATATATGAATTGTGAAACTAAAATTACATTTTATTGTGGAATTGGTGTATGTGATGACTAACAATAAGCTTATTTTCTTGCAACGTAGGAAATTAGAGAAAATGTGACTGAAGAACTTGTTTTGGAGTTCGATACTGACAATGTTGCAGAGAATGTGATCAAGGTTGAAGAAGAAACATTGGGACACAATGGGCCGATTGTGCTTGAGGTGAGCATGATGTTCAACAATGATAAGGAATTGTTTGATTTCTACAAGAGATATACCTATAATGTTGGTTTTCCAGTTCAAAAAAGAAACTCGAAAAAGGGGGACGATGGACCGTTGAAATATGTGATCTTGACATGTAGTCATGAAGGTAGAAAAACAAATAATGCAAACAGCTCTTTAAATCAACATCCAATCAATCAGACAGATTGTAAAGCAATGATCTTTGCTTCTTCAGCTAATAATGGAATGTGGAGAATTAACATAGTCCATCTTGACCATAACCATCGAACTAGCCCTTACAAGTCTAGGTTGTATCGATGCAATAGAGAGTTGAGTGCAACTGTGAAATGAAAACTTGAAGTGAAAGATTTGGCAGGAATTTCGTTGCACAAAAGTTTCAATTCTGCAATTGTTGAAGTAGGGAGATATGAAAATATGACGTGTGTGGAAAAGGATCGTCGCAATTATATTGAACAAGTAAGGCGATTGTGACTTGGAGAAGGAGATGTGGTCGTAATACAATGTTATTTTTCGAAAATGCAAGCATGATGCTTGAGTTTTTACTTCAGTATGGATTTAGATGACGAGTCTTGCCTGAAGAACGTGTTTTGGTCTGATAATAAGTGTAGGTAGGCATACATGGAGTTTGACGATATTGTTACATTCAATACCACTTATCTCACTAACAAATATAACATGCCATTCGTACCTTTTGTTGGCGTGAATGATCACGGTCAATCAACTTTGTTGGTTGTGAATTGTTATCGAATGAGGACACAGATACCTTCGTGTAGCTGTTCAAGACATGGTTTCAGTGCATGCACGGTAGAGCTACTCATGGAATAATTACTGATCAAGATGCAAAGCATAGGTAGTGTTTGTGGCACAGTTTGAAAAAGTTGTCGAAGAAGTTCGAATGCCATGTTCATAAGGCATGCATATTTGAGGCTATACATCGCTTGGTGTATGATTTGCAGAATATTGAAGAATTTGAAGCATGTTGCAAAGAGATGATCGAAACATATGACTTGATGGATAATGAATACATGTCTATTGAAGAATTTGAAGCATATTTAAGACTATACTATGTTGCATGCATCTGATGTCTATTATGCCTTTCATTTAAGAGCACAACTTTTTGCCATTTTGTGTGTCAGTAACCATTCTGGGGATAATCTGCTCTTTCATATTAGCGTGGATGGATTACTTTTTGGAATAATTTAGCATGTTACCGTTGTTGCATTAAATGATTGTCTTTGCCAGGCGGGTGCCTTTAGGAAATTATGCTATCTACAAGAAGCTTTCCTGTTAGCTATTTGTGGCATGTTTGTTTAAAGAGTGGGTTACTAGGTAGATCAATTCTTATTTAAAAGAGTGGTGTGGTCAGGATGTCCACTGTGGTGGGCGAGGGGAGATAGTCTGGATTTTTTCCCCCGTCATTCTAATGATCTTAGCAAAGCATCTTATTATATATTAATGTTGTAATAAAGAAAGTTGACAAAAGTTAGAAGAGAAGACGAAGTGAATACATGTTCAATCATGCAAGTGCGTAGAGTGTGTGTACATACAGGATTGAGAAAGACAAATCTATAATGGGTGTTTGAAGTTCATAGTGCTAGGCTTATGTGAGTTCAAGGGACAAAGTGAGAATATTGCTGGACATTTTGAAATTGAAAATTTTTTATACTTTGATAGACATTTTTGTTTCATCCTCGGAGCAATAAACTTAGGATTCTCAAGTTAAAGTAACCAAATCTGAAGCCAAAGTTGCTGAAATGAAGCAATCTGATGCCAACTTTTAACTGATGTGTAGATGTTGCATCTAAGTTTTTTAGTTTTACTTATATTAACACTTCCTTTCCACTATTTTTGTAGTCTATTACAGAGTCTCTGCAAATTACAAGTGAAGTGGTTAATATCTTTCATGAAACACATTTCTTTGACATTTTGTTTTAAAATTTGTATTTAGAAGACGGTCATTCTTTGTGCTGCAGAAAGAAATTCAGATTAGGCCATGCTTGTGGAATGGAAACCAGCAACCATGTTACTTGTCTGTCTCCATTCTCTTTGTTGTAAAGTGCCTCTCGTGATATAGCATTGAGTACGCTCTCTAAGATGGCTTTTTTTGAGTGCAAGGGCAACTGATAGAGCTACGAATGTAATTTCAAATCGAGTGGGAGAGGAAGTGGAGAGACAGCTATGTTGCCTCATCAACAAAATGGCATCTAATCATTCACCGCCAACTTTTAATTGTATTTGTGTACAGCTTGTGCAGCTATAACTTAGTAAAGACTTGTAATTGTATATGTACTTTCTGTCAAGTGCTCAATGAAATTTATTTTCCACTGGATTTAACTCGAGTGTGCCACTAATTTCCTTCTTACTAAAATAGCCAGCTTATGTTTAGCATTCATCGTTTGCAAACAAGCACATACAATTGACAAAATGTAATGAAGAAACAGAAGTGCATTTAAAATAAAAATTCTAGTTTGATACAAAGTACATAGTAACGTCACACAAGTCTTTAAATTACAAATAGAACCCAAACAACCTGTTGATGGAAATACTAATAATCAAGCTGGACCCTTTTCTTTCCCATTCGACTCCAAGCTTCATTTTCCCTTGTGAAATGTCACTTGCAATTACACTTGACGTCTCGTTTCTCGATTATTTAGGCCAGAGTTTCGAGCATGTTTGGCAAATCTTGAACTTTTTCATTTCTCTCAACAGTCATCACTTCATTGATGTTACTATATTGTTCACAGTTGTTACTACAAGTGTTGAATAATCGCCCTTTGTTACATGTCTATTTTTCAACCTCAAAACATTTCTGAAATCCACGTGGACAACATGGGCAATGATAAGAGTGTAAAATATAATATTTTTCCCTTTTTATTTATTGCATTCGTGTGATTATTTGATACCAAAATGCACTCATTATACTTATGTTTTGATTGAGGTTGCATTTTGGTAGAAAATGTGAAATTTGAGGGAAAAGAGCGGGAAAGGGCCAAAGTGGAAAAAAAATAAAAGTTCGGAGACTAAAGTGCAAATACTCCAAACTTGTGCCTAACATTATGGTGAAGATTCGAAAGTGATAGAGATCAAGCGGATGAAGAAAGAGCTCAAAGGGATGAAATATTATCAAAGTATGATCACATATCAATTCCCAATCGAAAAAGTTACGCATCATTTTTAGCCTCATATTGGGACCCATTTCTGACATGACAAACGATCGAATTGGAAGATAATATCTGAAGAAAAGTTGTAGGCCTTTAAGTTAGCTTTTCAACGCAACTTGAATCATCTCAATTGAACATCGTTAGAGGAAGATATGTTACTCATTGTCCTACAGGCGCGAGATTTCAAAAATCCACTACTGTGGCCTAAATAAATCTACAATGCATATACACCATTAGAACCATGCGTACGCAAGGTTCATTCTGGTAACCGAATATTCACTTTCCTAATTTGATACAACCACTTATGGAAACGTGATTTTCACACGATTTTAAGCCTTAATTCGAGGGAGAATGCCATTTTTCCCCTCTAAACATAATTTTATTTGGTTTTTGGCACAAAAACACGATGAGGAACTAAGAGATTCGGTGAAACCACGAAGGAACTCGATTAGTATCGATGATTTTAACATCCTTTACTCATGTAATTCTAATTTTCATTGTTAAATGATTTTAAGGTTTGGATTTCCTATTTTCATGAGATTGTTTTGAGATTAATTCAATTCTTATTAGATTTGTTATGGATTCAGTCAAGCTTTTTCTATTGATTAATCAAAATAATTATTGAATTTTAATTCCAAGAATTATTGTGAGATTGGTTTAACGTTTATTAGGTTTCTCATAGATTCAATCATGTTTTGTCTATTGTGGATTTAATTTATTAATTGAATTTCAATTTTATGCAATCTTATTGGTGTGATTCCTTACCAATATATGCCATATATATATAATTGTTTTTGGATCTGATTTCAATAGATTAGAGTGGGAATATGTTGTAGGAAATCTGAATTTTAGACTTACCATAGAATTAAAATGGGCATTAATGATATATTTTCCAATTAAAGTATTAGGACAAACATCTTTAATTGAGTACATGATTGTGTAATTGACGTTGATTGATCCGAACCAGTCGAGCGAATTCCTACTCTTCATTATTTCACACATTGATATTTATAATTCATTCAAATTGATAAATTATTTTTACACAAATCACGACAAAAACCCTAGCTTTTGATCTTTTGAGTAATTTTTCCATCTCCCTGTGAATACGAAACCTCAAAACTATACTACAACTATCGCGTTATACTTTGGACGTAATCAAATTTTGACGCCATTGTCGGAGAGACGGTACAAATAATCGAAGAATTTTCGAGCTAAAGGGTGACTTCATTCCTCTTTTATATTTTTTTAGTTAGTTTAATTTTATTAGTTTTTATTTCATTATTTCTCACGAAATTCCATTATTTTTTGGTGTTTTATGAATCTATTGGTATACACATTACATCGCACAGTACAATGACTGATAGTGAACACGAAGAGGCACCAACTAGGACTTTGCATGATTATCTTCACCCTACGCGCATATCTATACCATTATGCATTATATTTCCACCTAATATGCCATGTATGGATCTTAAACCGGGAATGATCCAACTTTTTCCCACCTTTCACGATCTTGAAAATGAAAATCCATATGTGCATTATTAGGGAATTTGAAGAGGTGGTTGCAACTTTCCACAATCAACGTGATATAATGGATGCAGTCAAGTTTAAATTTTTCTCGTTTTCTTAAAGAAAGACCAAAGAGCTGGCTGTATTCATTGCGACCATGTTCGATTGAGACTTGGGATGAAATGACCCAAGCTTTCTTTCGCAAATACTATCCCTATCACAAACCACTGCCCTTAATAAGCAAATCTCTTCATTTTCCCAAAAAAGATAGTGAAACCTTATACCAAACCTGGGAAAGATATAAAAAGTTGCAAGCCCTCTTTTGGTGTGTTGTGAGTTATTTCTATGAGGGATTAATACGTAGAGAATGCCAGTTTGTTGAAATGATGTGTAATGAAAATTTTTTGCAAAACGATCCGGATGAGGCCATAGACTACCTAGATGACTTAGCTGAAAAGGCCCATACCTGGACTAGACCTAGTACCTTTGATAATACCAATAGGTTACGACCCCATGGAAATTCCACAGGTATTTACCACCTTAGAGCGAAGGACAACCTTAGAGCCAAAGTAAAATCCCTCACTAGAGAACTCGAAGCCCTACGTGCTAAGGATTCAAAACTCATGCAATATGTTTCTCATGTTAAACTTTTAGGGGTTTGTTTTGTGTGTGGCAGCACTGATCATCCAGCACAGGAGTGTGCTACTTATGATAAGATGAGGAGATTTTATGAAGAGCACTATAATGCTTTAACCTCATAACAAAAGCCCTACACCCCTTGCTCAAAGACATACAATCCAGTGTGGCAGAGTCACCCGAATCTAAGCTGGAAATCTAAAGGCCAGCCAAATAAAGCTCACACTACACCTCCATATTAACCCACATCCTCTAGGAACTCTTTAGAAAACACTTTACATACATTTATAGAGGCGCAGAGCAAGACTATCTAAAAGTTTGAGACTATGGTCACCTAAATTGTTGAAGAAAATAATATAATAAAATTTCATATGTTCAAACTAACTAATGCCTTAGTTGTAGAAAAGCGGGAAAATTTTTCAGTGCAAGCTCAACCAAACCCTATGGGACAGCATATGGCACAAACCTCAGGCTCAGGAGAAAACAACCGTAAGGAAGTTAATGCCATAACCACTCGGTCTATTAAGGGTGTTGAACTAACCCCCAAACCTAGGGAAGATGAAAAGGACCCTAGCAATTCAGAAGAGAGTACCCCTAATGAGAAGATAGTGAAAAATCCATCTAGAGTGCCTTTTCCTCAATCTCTTAAGTTTACCACAAAATTTGTCGGCCAACATAGTGAAATCCTAGAGCATCTAAAACAAGTAAGAATCAATCTACCTCTCCTACATGTGATCTCCAAGGTTTCCACATATGCTAAAGTCCTAAAAGACTTGTGCACTGTGAAGAGGAAACACCATGTTTTCTTGACTGAATATGTGAGTCCTGTGATTGATCAAAAAATCCTATCAAAGTATAAAAACCCTGATTGTCCTACTGTCTTTTACATCATCGGGAACCGTGTGATTTCACAAGCCATTCTTGATCTAGGGGCTAATGTCAACATCATGCCGTATGATAATTACTTATTGTTAGGGCTAGGAGAGATGAAACCCACATTAATAAGTTTACAATTAGTTGATCGGTCCACTATTAGGCCTAGGGGAGTAGTTAAGGGTGTGTTGGTACAAGTTGACAAAATTTACTACCCTATTGACTTCTTGATTTCGAAATTAAAAGTTGATGTGAACGTCAACTCCAAAATTCCTATAATTTTTTATAGACTTTTTCTTACCACAGCTAATGCTCTTATTAATTTCAGGAATGGTCTAATGAAACTATCATTTGGGAACATAACCCAGGATGTATCATGAAGCAACCTGAGGAGGATGACAAGTGTCATCAAACATTCATGATTGATGCACTCGTTCAGGAGGAAGCATCTGCGATTATTGACGTCGACCCTTTAAACTCTTTTCTTTTGAATTCTGAAATTTCGATAGAATATGATGACGGTGAATGTGCTAATATCTGTGCTGCTTTTGATGATTTGAAGGATTATGGAGCATCACCGGTGCTTATCTCCAATGAGCTTGGTGCGATTCAAGGAAGATTGACAACGCCCTAGCTAGATGCGGGCTAAAGAAAGCAATATTGGGTTGAGCTAACGACAATAAATAAAGGCGCTACTTGGGAGGCAGCCCAAGAAAGGTTCATTCTCTTCTCTTTCTTTTATTATTTTTTCATTTTTTTACGTTTATTTTCATCACATGCATTATTCACTACATTTCAATTTATTTTCATTTTTTACATCACCCATTTCCGTAGAGAACTTTCAAGTCCACCATATTCTAGCTTCTATTGATTTCATTGCCATATCAAGGTGACATCTTTCTCTTTCTTTTGGCAGACATACTTTTGCATTGAGGACAATGTAATGATTAGTTGGGGGAGAGAGTGTATTTGAAATTTTCTTGGGAATTGCATGATTTTCATCGAATGTTGGTTTGTTTCGTTGAATTGGTCTAAAATTTTTCCTTAAATCTCTATTTGCTACGTGTTTATGTTCTTGAATGACAAAACACGCCACTAGAAATTAATATTGTTTATGTGAGTCTAGAGATTGATACACTTGCTGATTTCCTTTTT